TATTTACTTTATATGTACAAAATGAATCAGCTCATTTGAAGGGAGTGTCTCAGTTCAATACCATTTTTTTTAGTGCCAGCTAATATTGAAGTCTTCTACATTATTGATCTTACTTACTTAGGGAATAAAAACCTTTTTATGGAGGCTGTTGAGTGGAAGGGTTTTGCAATAGCCTTCTCATATATTATTTTAGTATTCCCTTTATATCCTGGAGTTTTTTGCATTATCTTAACATGATTTCTCGGAATTACCTTCATAATTTTTGTTTAATACAATGAAATGTTGATGTCATACCTCTGAAAAATAAATAATCAAGATGACTAATTTTTTGGGCTGCCTATTTAAATCACGTGTCTCAAAACTTCATTTATGAATTCTTGAAGCAATCCTTCTTTGTTTTTAAAAATGTATATTTGCAACCAAAATTTAACAGTGCATAATTAATGGCTACAGCCAAAGTCTTATGACATGTGTTCCCCTGTAACTTTTGGAGTTCGTTACAGATATATTTTTCAGCTTACAGAATAGCTTTTTTCAAAAGCCAAATTAAATGTGTTTTCATCAAATATTCAATATGGTAGATTTTTTTAAAAAAATCCACGTCTCTCAAGGTTTTTTGCCTGTATTGGTATTGTTCTTGAACAGTGAATCATATATTATTCTATTGTAAATTTTATAAGGTTGTTATCTGGCATATTTTTAAATCAAAACCAGAAATAAACCAGAGATACTTCTGAGTATGTTACAATTTTATTTGCAGATGAAAATCTTAAAATTACAGAGGCAGCAGATATATGTTTAACTATGAGTATAAAAAACAAAGTCTTTAGTAAATCATTAACAAATTTTATTAAAGGGTTTGAAGTGTTTTATGTATTATCTAAGAAATATTTTATTAGTTAAACTGTTTTATCTGATGCAAAACTTTATATTTGTAACTTGCTATTAAAGCTTTTTTGTCTATAATAAATTGAAAGTGAAACTGAATATGGATTCTCTCCATACTCCTTCTCCACACCTGCATTTTATTCTCACAATACCCATGATCTGAGTCAGGCTGCCAGATTTTGACTAATGATCCAGTAAAATGAGGATGGAATGGCTCAAATTGAACACTCCAACAAATGTAAAAATATGATTGCAAAATGGCTCCCCGTTAAACCAACAGAATAGACTTCAAGAGAGCCTGTGTGTGTATGGCATTATTTTATATTAATTAACAGTAACACCCCTTTATGGATTACTGCCTTGTCGTGGCGAAGGGGCTTGCGTAACTCAATGAAGCTATAAGCTATGCTGTGCAGGGCCACCCAAGATGGACAGGTTATAGCAGAGAGTTCTGACAAAATGTGATCCACTGGAGAAGGAAACGGCAAACCACTCCAGTATCTTTGCCATGAAAACCCCATGGACATTACTAAAAGGCAAAAAGATATGACGCTGGAAGATGAGCCCCTCAGGTCGGAAGGTGTCCAATATGCTACTGGGGAAGAGCAGAGGGCTAGTACTAGTAGCGCCAGAAAGAATGAAGCGACTGGGCCAAAGCCGAAAGGACGCTCAGCTGTGGATATATCTGGTGGTGAAAGGAAAGTCCGATGCTGTAAAGATTTTTTCTCCATAGGAACCTGGAATGTAAGATCCGTGAATCAAGGCAAGCTAGACGTAGTCAAAAAAGAGATGACAAGACTGAACATCGACATCTTAGGAATCAGCGAACTAAAATGGACAGGAATGGGTGAATTTAACTCAGATGACCATCAGGTATACTACTGTGGGCAAGAATCCCTCAGAAGAAATGGAGTAGCCTTCATAGTCAATAAAAGAATAGGAAAAGCAATACTGGGATACAATCCCCAAAATGACAGAATGATCTCAATTCGAATCCAAGGCAAACCATTCAATATCACAATAGTCCAAATCTATGCCCCAACCACTGGTGCTGAAGAGGATGAAATTGACCGGTTCTATGAAGCCCTACAGCACCTTATAGAATTAACACCAAAAAATGATGTCCTTATCATCATGGGGGATTGGAATGCTAAGGTAGGAAGCCAAAAGATAACCGGAATAACAGGCAAGTTTGGCCTTGGAGTACAAAATGAAGCAGGGCACAGGCTAATAGAATTTTGTCAAGAGAATACGATGGTCATAACAAACACTCTTTTCCAACAACCCAAGAGACAGCTCTACACATGGACATCACCAGACGGTCAACATAGAAATCAGATTGACTATGTGCTCTGCAGCCAAAGATGGAGAAGGTCTATACAGTCAGTAAAAACAAGACCAGGAGCTGACTGTGGCTCAGATCATGAGCTTCTTGTTGCAAAATTTAGGCTTAAATTAAAAAAAGTAGGGAAAAGCACTAGGCCATTCAGGTATGAACTAAATCATATTCCTGATGAATATACAGTAGAGGTGACAAATAGATTTAAGGAATTAGAACTGATAGACAGAGTGCCTGAAGAACTATGGATGGAAGTTCGCAACATTGTACAAGAGGTAGCAACTAAAACCATCCCAAAGAAAAAGAAATGCAAGAAAGCAAATGGCTGTCTGAGGAAGCTTTGCAAATAGCTGAGGAAAGAAGGGAAGAGAAAGGCAAAGGAGAAAGAGAAAGATACACCCAATTGAATGCAGAATTCCAGAGAGTAGCTAGAAGAGATAAGAATGCCTTCTTAAATGAACAGTGCAAAGAAATAGAAGAAAACAACAGAATAGGGAGGACCAGAGATCTCTTCAAGAAAATTGGAGATATGAAGGGAACATTTCATGCAAAGATGGGCATGATAAAGGACCAAAATGGCAGACCTAACAGAGGCAGAAGAGATTAAGAAGAGATGGCAAAACTACACAGAAGAACTATACAAGAATGAGCTTAACATCCCAGATAACCACAATGAGATGGTCACTGACCTCGAACCAGACATCCTAGAATGTGAAGTGAAATGGGCCTTAGAAAATCTGAGCAACAACAAAGCTAGTGGAGGTGACAGTATTCCAGCTGAGCTATTCAAAATCTTAAAAGACGATGCAGTAAAAGTGCTACACTCAATTTGCCAGCAAATTTGGAAAACTCAACAGTGGCCACAGGATTGGAAAAGGTCAGTTTACATTCCAATTCCAAAGAAAGGCAATGCCAAAGAATGTTCAAACTATCGCACCATTGCACTCATTTCACATGCTAGTAAAGTTATGCTTAAAATCCTACAAGCTAGACTCCAGCAGTATGTGGATCGAGAACTACCAGAAGTACAGGCAGGATTTCGAAGAGGCAGAGGAACTAGAGATCAAATTGCCAACATACGCTGGATCATGGAGAAAGCTAGGGAGTTCCAGAAAAACATCTACTTCTGCTTCATTGACTATGCAAAGCCTTTGATTGCGTGGATCACAACAAATTGTGGCAAGTTCTTAAAGAGATGGGAATACCAGACCATCTTATTTGTCTCTTGAGAAACCTATATGCGGGTCAAGAAGCAACAGTGAGAACTGGACATGGAACCACTGATTGGTTCAAAATTGGAAAAGGAGTCCGGCAAGGCTGTATACTGTTGCCCTGCCTATTTAATTTATATGCAGAGCACATCATGAGAAAGGCAGGGCTAGATGAAACAAAAGTTGGAATTAAGATTGCCGGGAGAAATATCAACAACCTAAGATATGCAGATGATACCACTCTAATGGCAGAACGTGAAGAGGAACTAAAGAGCCTCTTGATGCGGGTGAAGAAGGAGAGTGCAAAAGTTGGCTTGAAACTCAACATTAAGAAAACCAAAATCATGGCATCCGGCCCTCTCAATTCCTGGCAAATAGATGGGGAAGAAATGGAGGTAGTGACAGATTTTATTTTTCTGGCTCAAAGATCACCTCAGATGGGGACTGCAGCCAAGAAATTAAACGAGGCTTGCTCCTGTGGAGGAAAGCTATGGCAAATCTAGACAGCATACTAAAAAGCAGAGACATCACCCTGCCAACAAAAGTACGTATAGTCCAGGCCATGGTTTTCCCAGTTGCAATGTATGGCTGTGAAAGTTGGACCATAAGAAAGGCTGAGCGCAAAAGAATTGAGGCCTTTGAACTATGGTGCTGGAGAAGACTCCTGCGAGTCCCTTGGACTGCAAGGCGTTCAAACCGGTCAGTCCTTGAAGAGATCAACCCCGACTGCTCTTTAGAAGGCCAGATTCTGAAGTTGAAACTCAAATACTTTGACCACCTAATGAGAAGGAAGGACTCACTGGAGAGGGGCCTGATGCTGGGAAAGATTGAGGGCAATAGAAGAAGGGGACGACAGAGAATGAGATGGCTGGATGGAGTCACTAAAGCAGTAGGTGTGAACTTAAATGGACTCCAGAAGATGGTGGAGGACAGGAAGACCTGGAGGAACGTTGTCCATGGGGTCGCGATGGGTCAGACACGACTTCGCAATTAACAACAACAAAACAGTAACACTTTTAAAACTAAAATTCACTTGCTTGAATCAGAAGCAAAAAAATATTTGGGTGTCTCTTTGTTTTAAAAACAGACTTACAGTTTGTGAAACTTTATCAATTATGTGGAATCAACTAGTAATAAATGGAGGTAGAAAATATTTTAAATCAATACGTCAATAAAATAACTTTACTAAAGAGCGAACTAGCATAGTTTACTGTTATTTAGCAGTACAGAACTGATGATTGTGGCAAGAGAAGACGAGAGGCAGGGATAAAAAATATTGCTGCCAGAGAATGATAGAAAATCCTTAAACCTGGAAACTATAAGACATCCAGTGCCTACAAATGAATTAAAACAAAAACAAAAACTATGTTTCTGGTTTTAATTAGAACTCATGATCCCAATAATAATTTAACTACTTACAACTGCATGAACTCATTGATAACATTTGCAGAACAGAGAACAATTGGGGATTATGAAGCTTTTATATCCTACCCTAAAGTTTTACTGTCAAAATTTTGTTCTTATTGATGTATTTTCTCTCTTTTTTTAAATTTCTATTTTAGGGACATAAAGCCTGATAACATCTTGCTGGATGAGCAGGGTAAGTGACAATTATATCTGGCTGCAAGAACATGTATATGCTTGCAACTGTATAGCAAAATATAATGTTTTCTGTAGGATCACGACAGATTTTTATGAAGCCATCATCTAGTGAGATGGAAAACAAGTTGAGGCAAACCTTTATCCTAGCTCTGGTGTTTTTGCTGACTAAAGATACAAAGAACAAATTTCTACGGATTTCATAGAGTATCATAGGTTTTATTTTTTTTTAAGTTCAAGTAATCCAGCTATTGCTCTACTTAAGAGAACTATACAATATTTTATTATTATTTTTGTGGGGCACACTGGGTCATGTTTAAACCAAAGGCAATGTGATATTATGCAATAAGAGATAACAGGGATAGACAACATTATATGTTTTGTCTTTTGTTACTCTGTTTTAGCCCCCATGGATGTATGGAGATTTAATAAGGATTTAATAATATATCTATATAAATAAAAATGTAAATGTTCGTTTGTTCAAAATTTTAAATCTCCGAAAGTTCTTCACCGATTGCTTTGAAATTTTGACACAACGTTGCATTCGAATACATGCTTGTTTTTGTATACCTATATTATATAGATGTCACACCTGTGACAGATAAAAACATGCTTTTTTCCAAAACTAGCGCCATCTGTTGGACACAAAAGAACACACGCTATGTGCGCTTTCTCTTTTCTTTCTTTTTCATTTAACCAGACTAAGCCATAGCAACGTGTGGCCAGGTACAGCTAGTATTTAATAAATTCAGTGGAACGTAGTTCCAGGTAAATGTGTATTGGATAATAAACTTAGTTCTACATAGTATTGTGATTAAATATGGAAGTATTTTTCCTTTGAAAAATATTTAGGTTCTTCTGAAAAAGTTTCACAAAAGTATTTTATTTTATATCTTAGCATAATTTTCTTGCCTATTCTCCATGAAATGAAATGATGTGCAGTCTACTTTGTAATAATTTGTGTTTACGTTAACAACTAGTCAAAGAGTAGGAATCAACAATCCCAGTGACATTTGCAGGCCCCAGTGTTTTAATCAGTGCTATTGTTGTGACAATGTTGCAACCAAGATATGAGTTTAAAGGGGACCATTGTATTTTTGCAAAGGCTTTCAATTTAATGCATTTTAGCTGGTTATTTTAGAATTTGTTTGGAATTGTCTTTTCTCTGATTGTCCTTGAAATTGAGGTCATTCTAACTATTTCCTCTTTGCAATTTATCTGTGTTTCACCAACCATGGCAAGAGAGGTGTGTAATTCCATTCATGTGTGCAAAAAGCCTTTTACCTATTGTTCAGTTTTTCCCCTCGAAACATTGTTTTTGCAGCCTATGTACCTATATTTAGACTGTTAAGACTGCTTGTTTTCCAGTGACTTTCCTTCCTTGGAGGATCATATTTTAAGCTCCAGCACAATCTTCTGTAGTTTTTTTAAGTTTACGTGATGTTATTTATTGGATTTCTAGGGTATTTCACTACCAAAGTCTTATTAGCTATAAAATTCAAGCGTGTTGAAATTAAAATTATTATATTGCTATTTAACATCTTAAAAATAGACTTGAGGTTTCAATTACACTACACATTGATGAAAGCCAATTTAAAAAGCTGTTCTCTTAAAGCCTTCTTAAAGGCTTGTGTACAATAGAGCCTCAGTATTTAATGAGAAGTCTCAACATGAAAGAATGCAGGCCTGAAGTAGTAGACAGATAAACCAATTGCTGTTAGAGGTAGATAATCCCGAACAATTTGAATAGAAAATGGGAATTCTGCAACCAAAATATGATTGGGCTTAAGTCCATTAGGAGAGTAAAAACAAAAGCAATGTTTTCTACTATAGAGGGTAGCCCTAGTTGGAGCACATTACAAAAATCAAGTAATAATAATAGTAGTAGTAAAGTTGGAAGGGACCTTGGAGGTCATCTAGTCCAACCCCCTGCTCAGGCAGGAAACCCTACACCATTTCGGACAAATGGCTGTCCAGTCTCTTCTTAAAAACTTCCAGTGTTGGAGCATTTACTGCTGCTGGAGGCAGGCTGTTCCACTGATTAATTGTTCTCACTGTCAGGAAGTTTCTCCTTAGTTCTAGGTTGCTTCTCTCCTTGATTAGTTTCCACCCATTGCTTCTCGTCCTGCCTTCAGGTGCTTTGGAAAATAGCTTGATTCCCTCTTCTTTATGGCAGCCCCTAAGATATTGGAATACTGCTATCATGTCCCCCCTTGTCCTTCTCTTCGTTAAACTAGACATACCCAATTCTAGCAACCGTTCCTTATATGTTTTATTTAGTAGTATTTATTTAATTAGTAGATGGATCACTGTTGTTACTTACTAGGAAAAGGTGCTTTTGCATAACAATTGAATTGAATAAAAAGCAGTCTGGTCACAGACTCCACTTGAGATATTACATAGAGACCCGTATTGAAATTACTCTCATTGTCTTTCCTAAAGGAAAGGCCTATAATGCTCCTTTCACTAGTTTTTATGTACGACTTAATGAATGAACTTTATGCTGAGCTAGTGGTTCAGATAGGAGCAGGTCAATATTCTCAAACTGTTTCATGTGATTGTCAAAATTATGGCTTGGAATAATGATTAATTATGGCAGATTAGTATGAGTATTGTGGGTGACTTGGAAGTATAAGGATTTCCTATGTCCCTTTCCTTTTCCCTTTCTTAGATTTTCTCTAAGGGGTTTGCGTATGCAAAATGTTGCTAGATTGACTCCATAATGTTTTATGGGAAACTTTAAAGAAAGTTTATTCATTGTTTGGAATATAGCACATAATCCACATAAAATTCTTTTCTTCCCTTTGCTGTTATAATTATAGCAGTAAAATTAATTGCCACACTGGAATGGAACATTAAATAAAAGTGAAACTTTCTACTGGTAATTTATCTTTTTATCTCATTCATAGGGCATGTTCATGTAACAGATTTCAATATTGCTACAGTGCTAACTAAAGATACACAGGTTACCAACATTGCTGGCACGAAACCATATATGGGTGAGTAGTCAATGGATCCAAGTTATTTGTATGACATTGATTTGTTTTTCATGGACATTTTAACCTTCCTTCTTAGTAAATATTAAAACAGTTTTAAGAAACAAAGTTGGCATGATTCAGAAAATAATTCAAAGCTGATCTGGCCTTACATGTGATAGATTTGGAATGGCTTCAGTTCTGCAAACCTTAAAAGGTCCTTGCATGGATGGCTGATCTGACCTCAGTTTACCTATATGAAATCCTACAAGTCTAATCCCAAACTATAGATAGAGTTCTTGGGCTTCTCCATGTGAGTCATAACTAGATCGCCCATCCCACATTGATGTTAAGGCATACATGGAGCCAAAATATTACATTTGACAGGTTATACCAAATTATAGTAAATGGACTGTATATATGATTGCATATCTTACTGACATTAATTAGACTTATTGATGCTTCCTCTTGAACCACTGTTATTTCCTCTATCCTTGTTAGTTACTGAATATTTTAACCAATTCACCAAATATTCTTAGAATCAAAAAAGTATTAATTGCAGCTATTTTCTGCTCAATGCACTTGCCAGCAATGTATCTGGGGGAGAAGAACAGTGATAATACCTAACCTTGCATTAAAACTATATATAGTCATTGACAGTTGCCTGCTCCCTTCTATTTGTTCTTTATTTATTATATTTCACTTTAAAGTGTGTTGTAATATTTCAACAGGCTAGGGGATAGAGCTAGTGTTTTACTCAAAGTAATAATCATTTAAAATATGAAGGAATATTTCAGATGACTTGAATTATGTTCGGGCTTCATCTTATTATGCTTGCACTTATTAAGCAGGTTCAAAATGTGCTCTTCTTCTTCAACAACAACAACAACAACAACATGGTAAAGGCGGCCATTTTCATGCTTTTGTTTCTATATGAAATAGCCAGTAAGTTAGTCAAAATGTAACCCGGAGATTGTGAGAAAGAGGTGTAAAAAGCTTTATGCAGGATCTGAGAAAATAAGAGCGAAGAGTTCAAGAGCACAAAATACATTGTGCAGTGACCTTTTGAACAGCTATGTTATTTGAAGAACTTGGAAAAGTCACTTAGTTCTCATGTTCTTTTTTAATTTTAGTAAGACAAAGTAAACTTCCTCTTTTAATTATTAGAAGATGCAATTTAGTCCTAGGTCTGACCAGATCTCCTCCAAAGGCCATTATTAAAATAGCATGATTCTGATTAAGGAGTTAGCAGTATGATGGTCCAGATTAAAATAAAGGACCAAAATGACAGGGACGTAACAGAGGCAGAAAAGATTAAGAAGAGGTGGCAAACTACACAGAAGAACTATACAGGAACGAGCTTAACATCCCTTATAACCACAATGGAGTGGTCACTGACCTCGAGCCAGACATCCTAGAATGTGAAGTGTAATGGGCCTTAGAAAATCTGAGTAACAATAAAGCTAGTGGAGGTGACAGTATTCCAGCTGAGCTATTCAAAATCTTAAAAGACGATGCAGTAAAAATGCTACACTCAATTTGCCAGCAAATTTGGAAAACTCAACAGTGGCCACAGGATTGGAAAAGGTCAGTTTATATTCCAGTTCCAAAGAAAGGCAATGCCAAAGCATGTTCAAACTATTGCACCATTGCATTCATTTTACATGCTAGTGAAGTTATGCTTAAAATCCTACAAGCTAGACTCCAGCAGTATGTGAATCGAGAATTACCAGAAGTACAGGCAGGATTTCGAAGAGGCAGGGGAACTAGAGATCAAATTGCCAACATTCGCTGGATCATGGAGAAAGCTAGAGAGTTCCAGAAAAACATCTACTTCTGCTTCATTGACTATACTAAAGCCTTTGATTGTATGGATCACAACAAATTGTGGCAAGTTCTTAAAGAGATGGGAGTACTAGACCATCTTATTTGTCTCTTGAGAAACCTATATGTGGGTCCAGAAGTAACAGTGAGAACTGGACACGGAACCACTGATTGGTTCAAAATTGGGAAAGGAGTTCAGCAAGGCTGTATACTGTTGCCCTGCCTATTTAACTTATATGCAGAGCACATTGTGAGAAAGACAGGGCTAGATGAATCAAAAGTTGGAATTAAGATTGCCGGGAGAAATATCAGCAACCTAAGATATGCAGATGATACCACTCTAATGGCAGAAAGTGAAGGGGAACTAAAGAGCCTCTTGATGCGGGAGAGTGCAAAAGTTGGCTTGAAACTCAACATTAAGAAAACCAAAATCATGGCATCCGGCCATCTCAATTCCTGGCAAATGGATGGGGAAGAAATTGAGGTAGTGACAGATTTTATTTTCCTGGGCTCCAAGATCACCACAGATGGGGATTGCAACAAGAAATTAAAAGATACTTGCTCCTGTGGAGGAAAGCTATGGCAAATCTAGACAGCATACTAAAAAGCAGAGACATCACCCTGCCAACAAAAGTACGTATAGTCCAGGCCATGGTTTTCCCAGTTGCAATGTATGGCTGTGAAAGTTGGACCATAAGAAAGGCTGAGCGTCAAAGAATTGAGGCCTTTGAACTATGGTGCTGGAGAAGACTCCTGCAAGTCCCTTGGATTGCAAGGCATTCAAACCGGTCAGTCCTAGAAGAGATCAACCCTGACTGCTCTTTAGAAGGCCAGATCCTGAAGTTGAAACTCAAATACTTTGGCCACCTAATGAGAAGGAAGGACTCACTGGAGAAGAGCCTATTGTTGGGAAAGAGGGCAATAGAAGAAGGGGACGACAGAGAATGAGATGGCTGGATGGAGTCACTGAAGCAGTAGGTGTGAGCTTAAATGGACTCCAGAAGATGATAGAGGACAGGAAGGCTTGGAGGAACATTGTCCATGGGATTGCGATGGGTCGGACATGACTTTGCAACAACATGATGGTCCAGATTAAAATCAGCTGAAAAAAGAGGCAAAGGGCACAATGGTTTCTCCTTACTTTCTAATAATTCACACATAAGAAAGAGGGTATGACAAAAATGATCTACCCCAGCATTTTGTTCTCACGCATATCACACAGCCATCTCAGGGAAGTCAACAAGGGAATAAATGAAGAAGTTCACACTGACTTCTATTCCCCAGCAACTGAAGATTTTCTGGAGATGCTTATTGCAAAACACTAGAGAGAATTTCTTACGAGAACTTGCATTTCACTAGAGCAGAGGTAGGCAACCCTGGCTCTTTTATGACTCGTGGACTTCAACTCCCAGAATTCCTGAGCCAGCCATGCCTACCCCTGCACTAGAGAAAGAAAAGTCAATCATCTTGTGGAATATTCCATTCTAAGGCAAATCTTAAATTTCTCTTTTTTTGCAGCACCCGAGATGTTTACTGCTACAAAAACTGAAGGCTATTCCTATGCTGTTGATTGGTGGTCATTAGGAATTACAGCCTATGAACTCCTCAGAGGCCGGGTATAGTACGGATAATGTATATGTATTATTGGACCATCCATCCATTTACATATCTATCTATTCACGATTTCACCATGTTTAGACTATTCAGGAACAGATTTGCATTCACTGTAAACAAGGAGTTCACAACTGAGCCCATTATTTCTGTTGCTAAGTGAGACATTTGATAACTGAGTTTTGTCCCATTTTACAACCTTTCTTGCCACAGATGTTAATTTAAATCACTGCCGTTGTTAAGTTAATAACATGGCTGTTAAGGGAATCTGACTTCCCCATTGACTTTGTATGTCAGAAAGTCACAAAAAGGGATCACGTGACCCAGAACATGGCATCTGTCATCAATGTAAGTCAACTGCCAAGCATCTGAATTTTGATCGTGTGACCATGGGGATGCTGCAGCAGTCATAAGTGTGGAAAATGGTCAGAAGTCACTTTTTTCAGTGCTGTTGTAACTTTGATCACTAAATGAACAGTTGTAAGTTGAGGACTGCCTGTAGTAGAGTCATTAAAATTCTAAAGGGAAGCTTTCCTGCTTAAAGAAATTAATTTACTGATAAATGTTAATGTCTGCTGTAAAGGTTATCCTAAAAATATCGATTCAAAAACTATAAGGAACAAAGTGGAACTATACTTCAAAAGACCTTTCATAATTATGGACCAAGGATGCAGTCTGAAGAAGTGGACTACTGTGTGTGAAATAATAACCCAACACATTTCATGCTGCAGCATGCCTTATTGGTTCATTGGGTCATAACATATTTTCAAAGTTTGCAGCGGATTGTATAGAAGTCAGTAGGCATTTTATGAAATATTTGAGTAAAGTGGGAAATTTATTATAGTGGAATTTGTTTTGTTCTTTAACTTAGTAATAAAATGGCATCACATTTATAACTTCCTATTCAAGTTCATTTGTGCCAATTTTAAAAATTTATTTAGGCATATATGATCCCATTAGACGTAATCCTGGAATGGGGGTTGGATGATTTTTTTTGGAACTGAGTGTGTGGGACAATTCCAAGTTAGTAACAAGTTGCTTGTCTGATTATTGGAGGTAGTTAAAATTTCTAAAGCACAACAGATTTATTTTCTTTTGTTTTACAGTAATGTTTGTTTAAAGGGAGTACTAATCTGTTAATGCCAGTTACATCTTATGCAGAAGAAAAAAACTAATTTCTTTTATAATTACTTCTTAAATAGTTGTTTGATTTTCAAAACGAAACCGAATTATTACGATTCAATCAAAAGGTTATATTTTTTTTAAAAGGCCTTAAAAGCAAAAGGTTTTCTCAAATACATGGTGCCTTATATTTTCTGTATTCTTTGCTGTTGTTTTGTGTACACACAAAGCAAATTACACCACAGTTAAGCATTACTGAATATGTGCCTAGATTAATGGTTTTCAGATCTTCCTCTTTCTGTCTTCTCCCCATTGTATCTGACCTGTTTTTCTTAATAGAATTCTACATTTATCAGGTTGTTTTCTGTAGCACATAACTAATATTAAATAGGTTCTGGATAAAGCTGTTACCTGAAATGCAAAATCTTGGTTACTGTAAAAAAAAAATGTTATTCAAAAGCTTGCATATTCTAAGGGTACAAATTCCAACGATGTCAGATGATTGAAGTGAGAAGCTATGCCCTGAACTGCTCCATAAAGAGACGATGCCAAACTCCACCCTGAGAATGTTGGGAATTGAAGTCGCTTATGATTCTGAAATAATAACATATCTATTTTCCTCTACATGCCTATGGCACATTTTCTTTCATTATCACTCGTCATTCTGGTGTAATGGTGGTAGCAGACAGCAAATTGAGACTAGAATTTGACAGGGTTGCTTTTTACAAAAGATTTGAAGCTCAGGGGTGGCTAAAGGTTTTGCTTTTAATTCCTAAGGAAGGCATAAGCAAACATACCAGGTGAGCTTGTAGCTCCCAATATTGCACAAATTGTCACCATTTGTGCTGCTCTTTAGTACAATGCAAGAACAGGCTGGAAATGCTCTTCCACTGTTTAATTTTCTTTTCAAAGTTGAATGGATTAGCCACACTACGGCAGGCATGCTGGGAAAATATGCTCCTTAATTTAATTGATTGCATTTATGTCCAGAGGATTTATTACAAAACATTTTGAGAGCGTATTTGAAACCATGTCAGTTTGACTTCTCTTTTGTCTTATTTCAAAAAGAGAATATATTTCAATTCAGAAAAAAAGAATACAATGTTAAGTATTTCTAGGAATATTGAAAGAATTCGCACCTATCACACACATGCCACTAAAGTGATTTTCCTTGAACTCAATTTGCATTGAGTGAAACGCCAATTGGACAATCCTTGATCTTTTGCTGTTGCTTACCTGCAGCTTTTTAAGTGTAACTTTTCTGTTATCTTCCTCTCCTTTGTTGATCTGTTCACTTCAAAAAAATTGCCCAGTGTCCACAATGCCTTAACTAAGAACATTAGTGGACACTAAGGAAGGAGGGGGGAGAGTAAGGTCCCTTGGAGAAGTTGTCAGCCCATTACAATGCAATGAGACTCTCCCCCCCTCTAAAAAACTCCTTTAACCTAAAACAGAGAATTCATCACTCTGTTTCTTGTTGGATGGGGACTTTGTTTCAGTGTCCTTGCCTTCTTCTCTCCTTGCAGAGACCATACCACATTCGCTCGAGTAATTCTGCCAATGAAATTTTGCATGTGTACAAGACGGCCACCATCATGTATCCTGCTGCTTGGTCACAGGATATGATCTCATTGATTAAAAAGGTGAGTGAACTTTAGAGACCAGATGTGGGTTAAGATGCTCAGCCTTCCCAGCCTTTTGACTGAATGGGAGCTCATTCCACCAGGAATAGGACATTACTGGGGACACAGGGCTGCTGCTAGATATGGAAGCTATATGAGTCATTCTACCTTTTTCTTCCATGGAATGCATTTTAACACCTGCTGGGTTGCTATTTTACACCATCACACAGTTCCATGCACCCACTGCCCTTGATTGTCTCCGGTTTTAGGAATTCAGGAAAACCTAAACTACAAGATCCTTTTAGGAACATAGGAAACTCTTTTACTGTACACTACATTGGACATTTCTTGCTTGATCCTCCTTCAGTTAGTTTATTTATCCAAATATTTCTGTCTGAAACAACAGTAACGGTTGTTGCAATCTTTTAAAGGGTTTATAAGTGCTGTACAGGAGCTCAGAATTTGAGGAAAAGTTAGAGCAGGATATTCACAAACAACCTATGGGCTGCATGGAAAATCTTGAACAGTAAAATTTATGGGCTGGAGATTCCCTATTATGTCTGAGATAGATAAAGAGGCATGTTTCATCCTTTCCTGTATTCAGTCTGAAATTGTCTTCTATTCTGATGGTTTTTTAAAATAAACTGCTTTAATTCTAATTTCTAGTTAGTGGAAATAAATTCAGAGGAAAGATTTTTTCAACTGAGTCATATCCAGGAGTTTCCTTACTTGGCTGATATCAATTGGGATGCTGTTTTACAGAAGACAGTATTGCCTGGATTTCTTCCTAATGTAAGAATTTTATTTTGAATGTTTTCTTAATTTTGAAACTAGAGTTATAATGATGCTGACAGTCTGGCATGTTTCTTAATGTATAAAGCAATAAACTATCACGATGCATATGTCACACACCAACAGGATAAAGTCTGAAGAGAAACATAAACTTCTTAAAACCCCAAATCAATAATTTAGGTTTAACCATTAAATTAAGATCAATCAAATGGCACAACAATTTATTTATTCATTCATGTACTTATATCATTTCTAGGGCTGCCTAAAACTCAGCAACAAGTACCTCTTCCCTCCTCAAAGCAACACAATATATTAAAAACCATCTAAAACAATGAAATGGCAACCAGATTATACCGTGTTTCCCTGAAAATGAGACCCAGTCTTATTTTTTTTTCTTGCCTCCAAAAGAGGCACCAGGTCTTATATTTTGGGGGGCGGTGTTGTCTTTTCCACTCACCTCCGGCATTGGCAGCCCCACCCAGCCAGCCCACTTCTTCTGCAGCCGAAGGAGCAGCTTCATTCTGCATTTCTCAGCCTTTCCAGAAGGCCACTGTAGCCGATAACCAAGCAGGCCGGGGGACGCTGCAAAAGAAATGGGCCGGCAAGGAGAGGCCTGGCTGCAAGATAAGTGGTTGCGGGGCAGGTGGGGCAGTTCCACCCCATCCACCCCCACCCTAACTTGATTTTTAAGCATGCGCCTTGCCCCAAAACTAGCGTTTATTTTGGGGATAGGGCTTATATTAGGCCCACCCCCCAAAATCAAGCTAGGAATTATTTTTGGGGTAAGTTTTACTTTCGGGGGAACATGGTAATATATAGCAACTCAGTCAATTGGGACTCCAGACATGCAGGAGCCAGGCATATATTTGGGGGGAGGAGAGTTGCCTTCAAGAAAACATGTTCTTGAGGTCCCATTAAATGGCTTGATGAGAGAACCTAAAGTGTGCTCTCTTTAGTGCAGCATGAGGGATTTTGTATTTGTGAAGTTAAAGGCTTTTATACTATTATAATTATTGATCCTAGCTGTCCAATTCAAGCTCTCCTTTATATTAATCTATTTTGAAATTCCAGAGAGTCCTAATAGTTTTAATTGGGAAAACTGTTTTGGCTCATGTCTATGGTATGATTGAAGAGCTTTGTCCATGTAAATGTCTTTCTTTTAGTTTAATTTATTTGGGGGAAGGGTAACAATTTCTCTCTGTGTCTGTCTTCCTCCCTAGAAAGGGAAGTTAAACTGTGACCCAACCTTTGAACTTGAGGAAATGATCCTGGAGTCCAAGCCACTTCATAAAAAGAAGAAGCGCTTGGCTAAGAAGGAGAAGGAAAGCAACAAAAATGAATCCTCAGAGGTGAGGCACAATAGAGCTGAATGGTTGAATTATCCAAAGGATGCTTTTGGCTGATGTGAGGTTGCTGGCATTTTAATATCTCCCAATTTCATTAGGTATATTGATCTAAAAGACAGAAATCTCACATCTAAATCACACTGACTTTAATGGCAATGCCCCAAATGAATAGGACAGCAGCCAAAATGTGCAGTCTGTATCCCTCTGTGCTTTCTCATTCTTGGCATTTAAATGATTAATTGGTGCTACAGTATATTTATAATATTTTTAAAAAATATTAGAGCACCTTTTGAAACCTTTGCAAAATTGAGGAATGGCCATAGATATACCAGTTTTAGATTTTTGTTAAATACCAGATTTAGATTATTTTAAATTCTATGAGCAACACCTTACATTAAGATTGTGACAGCAAAGAATAGGATAGGATAGGATGGGATGGGATGGGATGGGATGGGATGGGATAGGATAGGATAGGATTTAATTTTCTATTTTTTTAGCTACCTTTAGATTTGGTGAGATGAATAGAAAACCATGGGGATAGTAGAAATAATAAGTGTACAGTGATGTTGGGAATTTTTTCTAGGTTCATTAGCTTTGCAGAGCGGAGCTGAAAACTGTAGCAAAGCAGGGAAAACACATCCTTTTTGTGTGAAAAAGAAAGAAATCAAGAAATAGAACTTTCTTGTTTCAGATTTGTATCTCCTTTTCCCCCCTCTCTACCCCAATACTGGATGCAAACAAAGCCAGAAAGATTTGATATTAAGAAGGAGAGAAAGAATAGAATCAGTGTTCATAGGTTCTGACTCTAGCTGCTTCCAAGAGATACTATCTTCATTATCACTGCTACTAAGTCAGTTATTTTCACAAAGCAAGATGTATTGAGGAAGGACATTATCCTTAGTCTATTACTACTAGAGCCCTCTGTTCAGGTAAACCAAGATCTAGAGAAATCAGGTTGGATGCTAAAAATTGGATTGTCAACTACTGAGGAAAATAACCTAGAAATAATGCTTGATCAAATTTGATGCATTTGATCCAGGTTGGTAGACAAATTTAGTTTCTGTTAAGAAAGATGCACCACTGAATCAGCTAATGATTTAGTGTATGGATCAATTGTTTGAATTCCTCTGAAATGTCTTTCTTGATAAGTTTAGTGTCTTCTTGCATCAAATACTACAATGATGAATTCTCATTAACTGATCTTTTTTCTTTCTTAATATAAGGCCTGCCAGCTGCAGAAAAACCTGGAGTCAATACAAAGGGACTTCATGATTTTCAACAGAGAAAAGTAAGCACTGACCTGAAAATATAAACTTTAGCTTAGCACTAAGGAAACTAAGGAAATCTGATTACTGTTCCTCAGATAATTAGGTAGTGATTTTGGCACAAAATCCATTGAAAAGCACTGGAAGCCTGGCGTTGCTGTACACTCTCACTTGGCAGTTGCTCAAACTATTTCACTAAGGTAGGCAAGCCCACTGAATTTAAATTTTGAATATCTTTCTGACAAAAATATAGAATGAGTGAAATGGGTTTATTTTCCTTTTTTCTGCCTTGTTCTCCTTCCAGAAAGAAATTGTATCTGCTATAGTTAGATAGGAGCAATTGAGCAATAACAAAGACAGATTTTCAAACAGTAGCTATTTTCCCCAATATACAGGTAGTCCTTGATTTACAGCCGTTTGTTTAACCATTAAAAGTTACAACGGTGCTGAAAGAATTAATGTACAAACAGTCCTCACACTTATGTCAGAGTCTCTGAGGTCACATAATCAACATTTGGATGCTTGGCAACTGGAATGTATTACAATGGTTGCAGCATCCCAGAGTCATATAATCACCATTTATGAATTTCCCAGGGGAATGTCTGACAAACAAAGTCAATGGGAGAAGTCAGATTTGCTTAATGTGATTTGCTTAACAACTATGGTGAAAAATGTCGTAAAATTGGGCATAACTCATGTAATGCGTTACTTAGTGACAGAGGTTCTGGTTTCAATTTTGGTCATAAGTCGAGGTCTCCCATAATTCCATTTCTTGATTTTCTGACACCATTCTTACAAACATAGCATAACCAGCAATACATTGTGTGGTTATTGTTATTTTTAATCATTCCTGCTTTTTTATCCCACTTTCCAGCATAGTGAATTTTTTATTGCATAGTGTATGGAAGTTATAGTGTTATAGGCTGGATCTTTAAGTATTGATTGGTGGCTTAAGAAATTCAGTTAACAGAGATTTGTAACAAGCAATATGTTCTTGAAACGGATGGAATATAGCCTTTATAACTGGAATCATAACAAGCCTAATAAAAGGAGAACTGATTGTATCTTGGCTAATGCAGAAGTTTGGAATGCTGGTTAAGATACCAGGCTAGAAACCAGGAGACTGTAAGTTGGAGTCCTGCCTTAGGCATAAAGCCAGCTTGGGAGTACTAGGAAGAAGGCACGGGCAAATCACTTCTGAAGTTTTGCCAAGAATTTGACTAACTTGAAGGCACCCCCCCCCCCACAATGCAGATGATAAGCTTTTGGGGAACTGCTGGACTTTATTGCGACCTGATCATGGACTTTGGTTTCTCTTATATACATTTTAGGGCACGACAAGAACATAACAAAATGCAGGAGAACTTGACGGTGACACAAACCAAAGACAACGAGGAAGAAGATGACCAAAATAATAATCTTTAAGATCAATGTAGTTTTCACTCAGGTGCTGCTACCGAAAGGGCAGGCTTTTACTTTAGCTCATGGAGCTTAACAGATAAAATTGCACACTGCTTTCAAGATAAGGCAGATACCTTGCTAAGGAACCTTGAGGCTAGATGCTGGGTCTCTCTTCCCACCATAAGGACTTGTGGCCTACAATCTTGCAGAGCTACTTAAGGCCCAGATTGTCACCCTTTATGCCTGCTTATTTTTTAAGCCACTTGACCATTAACAGGAAAGAGTATGCTCTTTACTGTATAAAAGGCACTCCAAATAGGGAAAGGTGAAGTTCACTTTCTAGGTATAATTTTTATTGGTAAAATGTCAAGATTGCTGATAATTGGGTTAAATCCAGTGCCTATGGGAAAGAGGTTTTTGCAGGTCTGCTAGAGGGGGCAACACCACATTTTCTTAGAAGTTTTCAAAAAAAAAAAAAAAAATAGAGCCGAATTGCAACTCTGCCTTAGACCGTAATAGACTTCAAAATGAAAAAAATCAATTTTTAAATACTTATAACTGACTATATACAATATATCACAGACACAAAATAAGAGGAAATAATATTTTTGCTTTGGGAGTTTTCCACTTATTGGTACCTTTAAATAGTTCTTAAGAATATAACCAATATATCTACAACTTGGTCTGTGTGTGCACTATGTGAATCAGGAAATGGAACAATGGGACATTCAAATCAAGATAAATTCATTAGGACCATTTTATAAGTAGAATTCACTAGTATGTGCAAGGAGTAATTCCTTTTCTTGCAAGGGATAGATGGCAATCATTAAAAATATTTAAGTCTGCAACTATCATAAAGAAATATTAGCTATGATGGTCATTTGGTAAAAGACAATTGATGGCTCTTAGGATCAATAGATGCTTGGTACAGTTAATGACAAACTATTAACTTTGTACTGTAAAGAACAGTTTATTATTATATGTAGTTGGGAAGAGACAGCAAAAATTCAGGTTGTTGGAAATTGGCTAGAAAAGAGTATATCAATGTTACAAGTACCCAAGGTTAAGCATAATTCTTTATGGGAACCACTTTTATGTTTGACCTAAGTTTGCTTTGCTTTATGACTCTAGTCCTCTTAGTCCTCCTTTCCATGTTCTTTCTTCCCCAGATACAACATTGGTAGACAAAAGACTGGCTAATGTAATGGATGTAGGAAATTACATTGACAATTATTGTACATAGTCAAGCTAAAATCTTTTCTAATCCTGTTTGTAGTTTGAGTCGAAAAAGCACTGTGAGGTCACTTGCTATCTAGTGATTTTTAATTCTCTGTTGCATTCTCTGTACAAAATGTAAAAGCATTCTCAACCAATACAATCTCTTTGATTTTGAAAGAAAAATGAATGGATTATGTCCACTTGGTGTGCATTATCATTAAGAAGAGAACATGGATAGATTATGTGACTACTGGGATAGGCCAGCAAGCAATTGTGTCAGCGGATGCTTTCTGCATTGTTTTAATCCTGGTCGTCTTTGAAAATTTCCTCTACAAAAAAATAATTTATCTGAATGCAAAGGGTAGCAAAAGGTGATGGAAAACCTCTTTTCTCCAGATTGCTTAAAATGGGTAAATCTGCTGCCCTGCAAATTGGGGGGGGGGAATGCACAGTTGTTCATTTAGGCTTATAATTTAATAAGCTCAATAACTAGATTCTTACTGTATTGTAGCTTTTCTCATCCCATATAGACAGATAGCTAAGCAATGGTCCTCAGGTTCTATCTTGCCACTCTCCTTCTGTCTGGCCTGCTGAACCAGACTGAAGGATCAGGGCATTGTTGCTCACTTCAAATACTCTTTCTTTCCTTTAAAAAAAAAGGGTAGTTATTGTTAAAGAAGAATATCTGGCCTGGGACTTGGCTCCTTGCAGCTGAAATGGAACAAAATCTTAATGAAAAACAGTGGAGTTCCCACCATTAAGCAGCACAAAATGCACAAAACTTTAGTGCACATCCTAAAACATTTGTGGGGGGGGGAGGGGGACAGAAAATTTTGACCCTTCCTATATACATGTTGTGGTTCCATTGTATGGTTCACACAATTGTTCTGCCCATTGTGATCCCATGCCCTCCTTAAATGTAAAAGGCAATCTTCAGTCACTCAAAATTTGTCTATATTTCATCTGGGCCCTCTAACCCGGCTTTTGCTCAGTTTTTCAGCTATTTCTTACTTGGATTTAAATCTTAATGCAGTGTCAGCACTCTTAGAATCATGCGGTTGGAAGAGATCACAAGGGTCATCTAATCCTACTCCTATGTAATATATAAAATTCATAGAATAGGTATACAAGTCAGCTATCTTGATTCTCATGCAGCTTCTAAAGATAAAATGCCACATTTTTTCTTAAATTCCCACCCAAATTAAGGCCATTCAGTTCCAGCAAGAATATTTTACCTAGGGCAATGTTAAAAAAATAAGTAAGTGCTGCAAAGCTACAAGCCCAATGTGGCCATTTTGGGGTACTGGGATTTGTAGTTCAGCAATTTTCTGATGGGTCATTAGAGCAATCAGTCCAAAAGCCTGTATACCAGCAAAGTGCCTGAAAAAGACAAAGCATTAAATACAGTTAACCTCGTTTCTTTGGGTTTTTTTTTGCAAACCAGACAAGCCAGCAGACCAAGAAAGGAGAGAGGGTCAACCCTCCTGCCATTCTTCATTTAACTCCACTAGTAGCAGCAGGACAACTGAGACAAAAACAACAATACATAGTCACAACTAAATGATAAACAACACATACCTTTCTGTGGATTACAGACCAGTCCTCAAGATATTCTCCCTGTCGTTTTCATTCGGTAATATATTAGGGCAAATCTTGCCTCCAAACCTTTTTAGTGAAAAATGAAATAATGGCTAGGAATGTTTTTTTTCAATACATGAAGGAATGGTCACAATTCCAGCTGTGATATAGAAACATTTGGACCTAAATTGATATCTCAGAATGGCTTGATACTTGTTATAGGACAGCTGTTTCTAAATGCTCTTTAAATGTGTGAGACTTCGTCTCTGATCTTCCGCAGCCAGCACTGCTACTTAAACGTTTGCTAAACAGCACTATATTAACCCAAAAACTTTAGGGACTCTATCAGTAGACTCTTTAGATTGAAAAAAAAATGTATTAATGGTTATTTGGGCATTTTAAGAGCATACATAGGGAATACACCATTGCTACATGCAATTCTAATCTCATCATGACCAAATAATCTTCCCAGGAATAGAAAACAAACTTAAGTAAATGTAATATTTATAAGAGTAAATTATAAATACCAATTAATGTTCTTTTGGTTCAGTTAGGAAGGGTATCATTCTTTTCTTCTGATGGAAAGAGAATAGGGACACAAGCTTACATGTCTGTTAAAAATGTCTGTCTACAGTTAATTAAAACATGTTAAAGTAGCATTTCTCCTCTCTTCCATGTTATAAATTAAGTTGGTTAGCCTTTCTGTAAGGGCCTTTTATAGTGCACTGACTTTTTACATTTTATTAAAGCTTCAAAATAAAGTTGTATTAACTCTTAGATGCAGCTGTGTTCCATTGTATCCTATATTTTAAAAACTTGATTGATGGATAATAGATTTTTACAGGCATAAAAATCTAGCATTTCACTGAAAAAAGCTTTTTAAAACAATGATCCAATCCTGTTCATCTGGTTGGTAATAGAGGGGTTGATGCAAATTGTGACTCCAAACCCAGGAAATTTCCTCTCCCCACTGTTTTAGATCCTGTTTAGATGCCAAGTCACACTAGGATATGCTCAGATTGTCTGATTTTCAAAGATTGATGTAAACTGAAGACATAGTTATGACAGTGATTATCAGGATGGAAAATATATATATTTGAATGAACCACACCAGCAGTGATTTAACCAACTCTTGTGAGTACTTGAAGTAGCACGAAGGGAAAAATTCATAGAAAGGTAATTTTGACATTCGATCAATTTTGGAAAAAATAGTAATTTGAGGGTGTGGTTGAAAAAAGTTGGAATCTTAGACAAGGCAAAGCATATCAATTTATCGTGTGTCCTGTTTTCAACTCTGTGGCTTTCTTTTATACGGAAACATTGTTATCCTTTCTTACCATGTACAGATATCAAATTTATTGTCATAGTTTTATGTGCGAGAACTAGAGGATGTTTGCTTACTGCTTACTACTAGTTCTTCCTTTCTTTCCTGCCCCTCTAATGCAGATTGTGGCGACTGTCAAGCCATGACATTAATGTCTAATTCATGCATCAGATGCCTATTTGATTAGGGGACTGAAGGCTACAACATACAAGGAACGGTTGCTGGAATTGGGCATGTCTAGTCTAATAAAGAGAAGGACGAGGGGTGACATGATAGCAGTGTTCTAATATCTCAGGGGTTGCCACATAGAAGAGGGAGTCAAGCTATTCTCCAAAGCACCTGAGGGCAGGACAAGGAGCAATGGATGGAAACTAATCAAGGAGGGAAGCAACCTAGAACTAAGGAGAAACTTCCTGACAGTTAGAACAATTAATCAGTGGAACAACCTGCCTCCAGAAGTTGTGAATGCTCCAACACTGGAAGTTTTTAAGAATAGACTGGACAGCCATTTGTCTGAAATGGTATGGGGTGTCCTGCCTGAGCAGGGGGTTGGACTAGATGACCTCCAAGGTCCCTTCCAACTTTATTATTATTATCGATCATCGCACAGTCAGCCAGATGTTCAGACTGGATTTGGCATTTTGTCTACCTATCGAGTCCTTACCCAGGACCTGGGATAGGCAGATGTTTGATGGTATTACAGATATCGTCGCAGGATGGAAGCAGTTCCTAATAAGGCTGCTTTTTGCAATTGACTAATAGCGAATTTGTCAATGCCAATGGTGTTCAAGTGGTGCTCCAGTTGTTTTGGGATTGCACCCAAGGAGCCTATTACTATTGGTACTACCCTTGCTTGCTTTTGCCACAGTCTTTCTATTTCTATTTGTAGGTCTTTGTATTTTGTTATCTTCTCCAGTTCTTTCTCTCTATTCTGCTGTCTCCAGGCACTGCCACGTCCACTATCCAGACTTTTTTGTCTTTCTTATCGACAATTGTTAAGTCTGGGGTGTTATGTTGCAGGTGCTTGTCTGTTTGAATTCTGAAGTCCCAGAGCAGTTTAATTTTATCATTTTCTATGACTTTCTCTATTTTATGATCCCACCAGTTTTTGCTTACAGGCAAATGATATTTTTTGCAGATCTTCCAATGCACCATTGTTGCTACTTTGTCATGCCGCTGCTTGTAATCAGTTTGTGCAATCTTCTTGCAACAGCTTACCAAGTGGTCCACTGTTTCTTCAGCTTCTTTGCATAGGCGGCACTTACTGTCTGTTGCTGTCTTCTCAATTTTGACTTTGTATGCATTTGTCCTTAAGGCTTGGTCTTGTGCAGCCAGAATTAGTCCCTCGGTCTCTTTCTTCAATTTTCCTGCTCTTAGCCATTGCCAGGTTTTATTGTTATCTGCTTTCCCAGCTATTTTTTTCATGTATTGGCCATGTAGTGCTTTGTCTTCCCATGCCTCTATTCTGTTCTTCATTTGGTCTTTCTTGTAGGCCAGTTTGGTCTCTCCAGTAGTCAGTAAGCCTTCCTGATATACTAATTTCAGTGCATCTTCATCATTGTTCTTCAGATATTCTTCCAAAGCCATTTTTTCTTCTTCAACCATCTGATGTACTTGTAGCATTCCACGCCCACCTATTTGCCTTGGTAGATAAAGTCTATCAATGTCACTGCGTGGATGAAGGGCATGATTCATTGTCATTATTTTTCTGGTCTGCCTATCCATTGCTTTTAGTTCTGCTTGAGTCCAGTCCACTATTCCAGCTGTGTACCTAATGACTGGGATTGCCCAGGTGTTGATTGCCTTTATGGTATTTCCTCCATTGAGTTTGGACTTTAAGATCTTCTTCACTCTCTTGATGTATTCACCTCTAATCTTTTTCTTGACTTCAGTGTGCTTGATGTTGTCAGCTTGAAGGATACCCAAGTATTTGTAGTACTCTTCCTCATCCAGACTCTTGATGTTATTTTCGTGGGGCATCTTAATTCCTTCAGTTTTCATTATTTTTCCTTGTTTGATAGTAAGTGTGGCACATTTGTCCAAGCCAAACTCCATTACAATATCTTGGCTATATATACGGACAGTGTTGAGCAGCGATTCTATTTCAGATGATGTTTTTCCATACAGCTTCAGATCATCCATGTAAAGGAGGTGGGATAGTCTAGCAGATGTTTTTGATGTTTGATAGCCATGTCCTGAGTTATTCAGTATTGTTGACAGAGGAAACAGTGCAATAACAAATAGTAATGGTGATAATGAATCTCCTTGAAATATTCCTCTCTTGATATTAACCTCTCCCAGCCTCTCACCATTGATCTGCAACTGTGTCTTCCATTGTGCCATCGATCTTTGCACAAATTTTCTGATGTTTCTACTTACTCCTGTTATTTCTAGGCACTTGATTATCCAATCATGTGGCAGAGAGTCAAATGCCTTTTTGTAGTCAATCCATGCCACATTCAGGTTGGCCTTCCTTCTCTTGCAGTTTTCCAAGATCATTTTGTCTATTAGGAGTTGATCTTTTGTTCCTCTGCTATTGGGGCGGTTTCCTTTCTGCTCAGGTGGAAAGAGATTGTTTTCAACTAGATGCTGTTGCACTGCATCAGCTACTACACCAGTTAGTAATTTGAAAGTTGTTGGTAAGCAGGTAATTGGCCTGTAGTTACCTGGTGTTGCCCCTTTTGCTGGATTTTTCATTATTAGGTAGGTTTTCCCAGTTGTTAGCCACTTTTCAATTTCTCCTCCTTGTAGTATATTGTTGAACTGCTTGGCAATGAGTGGGTGTATAACAGTTAGATGTTTCAACCAAAACCCATGCAGTTCATCTTCACCTGGTGCTGACCAATTTTTGATTTTCTTTGCTCTTTTTTCTACCATTTTTGTTGTTATTACTAGTTCTTTCATTTCAACTTCTGTTTTATTTGCATCCACCTCTTTTAACCAAGCCGCATCCTTGTTGTATTTCTTTGGGTTATCCCATATCTGCTTCCAGAACTGCACTGTTTCTTCCTTGTCAGGTACTGACTGATTCCTTGCAGTTTCTCCATTGATGGATTGGTAGAAACGTTTCTGATTGGATTGAAATTGGAGGTTCTGCCTATAGTTTGCAATTCGAGCTTCATATCTACTGATTTTCCTGGCTATAGCTGTTATTTGTTGCTTTATTATTTCCAGTGCTTCCTTGATCTTCCTTGTTTCTAAGTGGTATTTCTTGATTAGGTATTCTTTGGTCTTCTTGTTCTTCAGCTTCTTTTCTTTCATCTGTTCTAGCTTGCTTGCATGTGATCTTAACTTGCTGATCTTATTTTCTAGTCTAACCTTCCATTTTTCTGGTGCACTGTTTGTTTGTTTTTCTTCTTTGTTGATTTTGTATCCCAGGTATTCTGTTATAACTGCAGCTGTGCTGTACATTAGTTGGTTTGTTTTTTGCAATGAATTGGTGCTTATACTTGATATTGCAGTATTTGCATCTTTTAATGCTTGTGCTAGCTGTTTCTTTGGAACAAGCTTCAATACAGGTAGCCTTATTCTGTTGTTTTTGTGCTGTTCTAGATGCTCAGTTATTCTTTGTTTCAATTCTTTTATTTCTTTAGTTAGAGGGTTTTGTTCTTCCTGAGGAAGAGGTGCCTGGTTTCCAAATGAGAACAGTTGTATATCTCTGCTGGATTCCTTCACTGCCAACTCCCCCTGGTTTGCCTCTACATTCTGAATTACTTCTGGTAAGGCTTTGATTTCTTTGCCCTGGGTAAACCTTTGCAGTTCGTCCAATTCTGTTTCTGTAAATACTTTATTTCGTGTTATAAATCGGCGTTGATCTGCTAGTCTCTGTTCTGTTATTTCTGATTCTGGATGTTGTTCTTTCCAGAACTGGTGCATTCGTTTTAGATATCCTCTTCTTGTTGGACTTGATCTGTAGTAACAGATCATTATTTCTTTGTTTTCCATCACTGTGTATCTGCGACGGGTAAACAACCTTTTCTTCCAGTAGTTCTGCAGCTGCTGGCCCTGGTTGCTCAGCCAACAGTCCTGAGTCCTGTAACCCATTTTTCACCAGATATCCAGGAACTCCAATATCTAGGTGCGGACCTTGTTAACCCGGGCGACGTCCGAGCCGGTATGGCATTCTGAAATTTACGTCTCACCATATTTTTTATGGGAGAGACACTCTTTGTCTGACTCCTCTGATGAGACCTGTCCAGTATGGTTGAACCTCTGGCATAGCTCTCATCTTCCTCAGAGTACACAAGCCCCACAACCACGTCAAGGTAGTGCCTCACTGGGGGTTATTATTATTATTATTATTATTATTATTATATTAATCATCACACAGTCAGCCAGATGTTCAGACTGGATTTGGCATTTTTGTCTACCTATCGAGTCCTTACCAAGCATGTGGATGTTTAATGGTATTACAGATATCGTCGCAGGATGGAAGCAGTTCCAACTACTACTT